GTGGGACCAGGAAACTGCCACAATGGGGATTAGTAGTCACATCGAGGTAGCTTGTCCCAGAGTTGAGACAGCTAATCCTTAATGCCTCGCTGGAGATTTTCAATGAGAAATTCATCCCACGACCCTCAAGGCTGGGGCTCTTGTCCCCAAAAGGCAAATACCTGCCATGCAAGGAGAACCAACTGTACCCTGGAGAGGGCAGAGGGAGGGGCAGGATGCCACCTCTTCTTTTTCCGGGATGACCCGGACGCAAGGGCCTGGACCTCAGATGACCTCTGAGAGTACCGACCTCCCCACCCGCCACCGAAGACCCTTCCCGTGCCCCCTCACACTCACGGCCTGGGGGGTTTGGAGGGTGTCTGCTGGGGTGGAAGGGGGCAATGACGCGGCACCCCAGCATTGTGCCAACCCCACACTGACGTCCTGTCATGGCACAGTGGACTGCGGCAGCACTGAGCCCGGGACTAGCCCCCAGAGCGGAGAAGCGGGCTCAGAGGGGCCAGGGATGTCCGAGGCCACAGCTGAGGGGAGAAGTCGGCCTGGCCAGCCAAGCCCACGCTCCGGGCCACCTCCCAGACCCAGGGTCACCAGGAGCAAGCGGGAGCCAGAGAGAGAAAGGAGAGGTGGGTTGTACCGTAACATCTGCGGAGAGGCAGATACGTGTGGAAAGTACTAGAGACAGAACACCATGGCTCTCCCTTGGGGAACCACCTGGGGACAAAGCCCCTGACCTGTGTGTAGAAATTATAACAGCAACTCAACGAACATTTCTTCAACAAGGGGTCTTTGTGGCACTGAGGACGTGGCAGAGAACAAACAGAATCCCCGCCTCCTGGAGCTTCCGTGGAAGCTTCCTCCCATTAGAAAGCACCCACGGGACGTATCCGTGGGACCTTGTCTGCTCTTCAGACCGGTCTGACACTATGAGCGCCCACTTTACAGATGACTGAGCTGAGGAGGTAAGGGCGCAGGGCTAGGAAACGGCAGAGCGAGGATTTGAACCCAGGCCCATGTGTCCCTTGTCACCCTCCCAATTTCCCTGCTTATTGCAGTAATGATGATGATGACGGTGACTGGGATCCACGGGGCACCTTCTCCAGCAGGAGCCGAGCTGGGCTCTCCACTCCCATTTCCGCACGTGGTCCCCGCAGCGGCTCTTCTGAGGTAGAGACCATTCTAATTCTCATTCTGTGGTAAAAACCAGAGGCTCAGAGAGGCGAGGGCGCCTGTCTGCTCTCACACAGTCAGCAAGGGGAAAGCCTGAGACACACACCCTCTTCAGCTCCTCAGGGCTTCACGGCCCACCAAGATTAGGAGCACAGTCACCATTAATTGAGCATTAAGCGCACGGGATACACTGTCGCATTTCATCTTCTCCATGATGCCACGGGGTCAGGGCTCTGTGCGGGTGGGGAAACTGAGGTGGGGAGCAGTGGAGTGACCAGAGACCAGCAAGACCTACAATCCTCATGGGTCAAGGGCCTACCGCATGCTAACCCTTCCACACGGGTCATCCTCCTCATCCTGTAAGGCCTGTTGTTAGTCCCATGTCACAGATCAGGAACCTGAGGCTCAGCGAAGTGACACTCCTTGTTCAGGCCATTCAGCCAGCGACAGGAAGAGAGAGAGGATTCGAACCCAGGCCTGCCCAAGCCCGGAGTCAGGCTCTGACCCCCATCCTCGGCGCCCCCTCGGCACACTTTTGATTTCCATGACCAGTGCCAGGCCTGGGGTCTGGGCTGTCCTCGGGGCCGGAAAACCTCTCCTCAGAGATTTCAGCACTGTCCTCAGCTCCGAGCCCATGGCCGGAGGAAGCGGGGCTAGATGTTTGCAGAACTAGGTGCCAGGCAGCCAGGGAGGGGGGTGGTCTGATGTCTGGTCCAAGGCCACCCAGCAAGGCTCTCCTGGAGGGGTTCTCCAGGTCCCAGTGCCAGGCTTGGGGACCCGGGCTGCCAGCTTCTTCCTGCTCTATGCTCTCGTGGCGGGGCCACGGTCAGCGTGAGCAGAACTAGCTCCCGAGTCGCCAGTCCTAACCCCCCCTTGCCCGGGCCACGTCCGTGTGAAGGACAGGCCTGCTGGGTCCTTGCTGACTTGCAGGTGAGGGAGCAGAGGTACCACGCGCAGGATGTTCCTGAGCCCTCTGCCAGGGCTCCCCAGCCTCATGCCAAGTGGCACATTTGGCGTTGACTGTGGCTGGTTCCGGGTTGACACGGGCCCAATGCAGCAGGGGTTACAACCAACTCAAACAGCAGAGGCCGAGGTGATAAACAGGACATTCAAGCTCAAAGCCTCTCCTGCCCTGCCAGCTGGCCTTAGTGTCACGGGGGTGGGAGGACCTTCCCTGGGGACCCAAACACCCAGCTCCTGTTTGTGTAAGGCCTGGCCAAGCCATCCCCTTTCTCTGGGCTTCAGTTTCCTCCACGGGTGAGGGGACTCTCCAAGCCTCCTCCAGGGGGTTGTTGTGAGGACTGCCTGGCGAAAGCGCCCCTACAGCATCCAGCCCAGCGCCAGGCACACAGCAGCTGGGGGCTCTTCCCTGCACCTGTTGGGCACGGGGCAGCATGGCCACCTTCCCCGGGAGGCCACGCTTGGGGCAGCCACTCTCAGTTGGCCAGCTCCCAGACTTGGGGTAACTACCTCCCAGCCCTGCCCCTTCCTGTCCGCAGCGTGGCTTCCAGCAAGTGGCCCTTCCCTTGTGAGCCCCACGCTCCTCATCTGAAAGACAGGGCAGTAACAGGCTCTGCGGGGTTGCTGAGGGGCTGAACCAAGATGAAGCAGAAGCAGCTGGTACAGAGTAGGTGCCAAATAAATGGCAGTTGTTATTCGCAATAGTCCGCTCTTATGGGTCTCAGCTTCGGCAGGACGGTCAGGCTACACTGTAGAGTGCGGTGCACCTGAGTGTAAGGTTGTAAGGGTCATGTCCAGGCTGAGCTGGGGCTCCGGAGGTTGCGGTAGGGTCACAGCTCATAGGACTCAAGGCACAGGGCACCTTTGGGTCCTTCAGTCCAGTGCTTTCCATTTGTGTGCCGGGACACAGACCACCCCTGGGGCTCCCAGAGACCCTGGCCCAAATTAGCTGGGGGCGGGACTCAAGTGCCTGTATGGTATACGTGCTTCCTAAGTCATTTTGTCTAATCTTTTTTGTAAGGCTACTGCCCAAAGTCGAAAATTCCAACAAAACTGAAAGATACACAATAAAAAAGGAAGAGAAGCAGGGCCCAAGGTCACTGTGCAGCCTTGGACGAGACCTCCTCCTTTTATGGGCCACAGGCTCCCCAGACTTCCCAGCAAGGAGGTTAAACTGATGCACTCTAAGCTCTCTCTGGCTTCGGGCTCTGCAGTGTTTCCGGTGTAGTGTGTGACCCTCTAACAGCCATCAGAAGGGCGGAGGCCAATGTGAGCCTATGAATGCCCAAGTCGGGACTGCTGTGGGTATGAGTGGCAGGAGTTCCACTCACATGGGCTTAAGCAAAAAAAGAGGGAAGAAGAAATTTATTTGCACCGAAAAGTCCTGGGCTATAAATGACTTCAGGCACAGTTGGATCTAGGCGCTCAAATGATATATTTTCTCATTTCCTTAGTATTGGCTTCATTCTCCAGTAGGTTTTGCCAGATAATTGTATCTAAAGGCTTTAAAGAACAAAACAGACCCAGGCAATCTGTGGAGACCCAAATCCCCCTTTGTGGGGAGTGAGCTCTTTCATTCAGAACAGTGGTAACATGATCTCTGCGGTTCTGTAAGAAGTTCTCATTGCAGGCAGGGATACGTATCGTGTTCTTCATGGAAGTCTAGCTTGTGCCATCTTGTTCATACACACATGTGGTGTATGTGTGAGCATACATGTGTATATGTGCTTGTTCAAGAATTCCACACCACTGTCGAGAGTGGGATCTGGAGAGCCTCAGGAAGAAGGGGGCCTGGTTACTCCCCACTTTGGTAGATTTAGCCCGGTGTACGCCAGACTTGGGGGGGTCCCTCAAATGCTTCAGCAAAAGGGGGCCCTTGAGGCTGTGGCGAGGTCCTGTCCTCATGTGAGCCGGGCCAGTGAAGCAGCAGAGGAGGTAATATGGCTCCTTAGGCAGAAGGAACGCTGTCACCACCATGTAAGGGCCACCCACACCCAGCAGAATCCCAGGAGACCATACAGAGGAGCAAGGATTTATGAACACCCTCCTCCAAACCTGTGAGTGGTGGTCTTTCCCCCCGAAGGCAGGGGAAAGAAGATCTGGTGATCTTCAGAATGTTTTGGGGGCAAGAGGCAGAAGGATGGGGCCACTTGAATTAGCTAATATTTTGAATATAGGATATTAAGAGAGAGATTATATTAGAAGGAGCATCAAACCGATGAGCAATGCAGGGTCATGACATGGTGCCCATTTGTTTGTTCATACTTTTATTCAGCGAATATATATTTATTGTACCGTACTAGGCCCAGGTTTTTTACTGGGGGCTGGAGAGTGAACAGTAAAGTCAGTTGTAGTCCCTCCCCCAGGGGCTCACAGCCTGGTGAGAAAAGCAGACAAGTCATCACTAACTGGCACCTAGAACCCTGATCAGAGGACCAAGACAGCAGGATGGTGTGGTGGGAGCCCCTAACCTCGACTCTGGGAAGGGAAGGGGTCCAGGGTGGGATTTACAGAGGGCATGATATCTTACTGAAGCTGGAGAGTCGGTAGGAAATGACTTAGGTAAAATTGCAAAGACAAGGAAAGATGTTCCAGGCAGAGGAGCCAACATGTGCAAAGGACTTTTGTGTAAAGAGCACAGACTTGGAGCTAAGTGTGACTTTTCAAATTTCAGCTCCTCCACTCACTGGCTGTGTGTCTCCGGACAAGTTGCTCTAGGTTTCTGACCTGAGTTGTCCATCTATAAAACAGAAGCAAACCACATTTATCTTAAAGGAATGTGAAGTGTAAGAGAGACAGGTGCTTATTGAAGATTCCTTTTCCCTCTGGGTGATTCTCTCTTCGTCCTATGACTGTCCAGGTGTCAAGACAAGATGCTTCAGCTTTGGAAACTTGTTCTCTTATGCGGTCTGCTCACCGGGACCTCAGCGTCTCTTTTTGGAAATCTTGGCGACGACCTTTATAATGTTGTGAACAAGCTGAAACCTGCTGTTGAGAAAGGACTTGAGACCATTGACAACACACTTGAATGTGAGTCAACAAGTGATGATCAGTGGCACCTAGGAGCTTGCCGCCTGAATGCTATGTCTGCATTACCAGAGGCTGCCACCAGGGGCTGCTCTTTATGGGTGGTTTACTGAGAAAGGTGGCTGTTCAGTTTCTGGTTCATTCACTTATTTTTCAGGGAACAAGCAATGCTCAAACGAATATCCTCTTATACATTATATCATGGCACATTTTTTCCTAATATCTGCAGAGGATAAAATCCTAAAACTGAGATTTCAAAAGTTCAAAAGGTATGCACATTTTCAATTATAGGAGATGTTGACAAATAATTCCCTACATTAACATTCTCTCCAAAAGTCTTGGGAGAGTGTCTTTTTTTCTACTCTCTTGATAGCACTGCTATGGGCAACTTAAAAGTTTTGCTAATCTCATAGATAAAAGATTATAACTCATTTCACTTTGCATTTCTCTAATTATGAAAGAATTCACTCGTTTTTCATATTTTATTAGCTATTTATATATTTTAGCATAAATATTTTGATCATATTCACAGCACATTCTTCTGCTAGGTTGTTCAATTTTCTTATTGATATGTATTAATTCATTGGAAATTAAGGAAATTAGCTATACCTAAGCCTAGGTAGCTTTAAAGCTACCTAGCTTTATATTTAATCATGTCTCTTTTTCATTCTGATTTCTTAAAAGAATTTGGCTTTCTTTTCATTTTCTTGAAACATTATAGGAGGAAGTAAGTGCTAGAATGCTAAATGCTATAAATGGCTACCTTTCAAACCTTGTCAGGGTTTAGAGCTTCAAAGGTATAGAAGGGACCCACTCTCTAATTTCACTGCTGAGAAAACTGAGTTCAGAAACAGAAGTGTCTGGATCAAGGTCACCTAATGAGTTATAGGACCAAAAATACTTTTCTTGAAATTGGTAGTCTCTGTTTCTTATATCATTATAACTAGGTAGATACCATTGATTGTAGAGCCAAGTTGCAGAACCATAGTTACATTTCTTCTCTTGTACAGCCTTTGTTTTTCCTTGAGTTAATAATTGCCTTGTTTTTCACTTGAATTATTTTCTATACACATATCCTTAATTCTTTGCATATGCACTGTTCTATATCTGCCATGTCTATCTAATCCCTCTTTTCTCTGGAGCCCTTCCATTAAGACACTTTGTTTTCATACTCCTGTATGAATTATTGCTCTCGGGGCCTGCTGCAAAGCTGTCATGCTGGGACTCCCATTTGCCACTTTTATGAGTTGGAACCATACTTTTTGCTTGATTCTAGATTTTCTATTTCTTATTCTCTCATTTTGTTTGACCTAGTTCTTCAAACTTGCGTGAACATCTCATTTAGAGCAATAGACAACCCCCTCAAGTCACTACTAGAAGCTGGTGTACAAGCAATATGAATTGCCTGGTTAATTGATTGATTGCTTTGTTTATGAATGATGAGTATATATTAGTATGAAGGCAGCATGGAAGGAACAAAGGCTCCCCAGCCGCGTGACTTTAGGCACATTTCTTAACCTTTTGATCTTTTATTTCCTCATCTGAAAATGCAGATAATAACAATATCTGCCTCATTTGGGTTGTTATGAAGAGTAAATGAAATAACATAGGCAAATAGTCTTACCGAGTGTCCGGTACATGGTCACTGTTCCGTAAGTGATGGACAACACTAAATGGCAATTGTTTTTGTCAGCTGTCATTCAGAAACTGACCGCCAACTTGGGGAAGCTTCAGAAATCCAAGGCTTGGCTCCTGGCCTAGGAGAAGGTGCAGGAAATGAGTAACTTGGTGAACAATGCTCTTCCTAAGATCACTCCAGCTAAGGATGAGACTTTGGGGTGAGTTGACGCTTCTAGGTGGAGATCTTTGCTCCAAGAAAAGGGAAAACACATCTTTGGGGAGGTGAATTTAAGGTCAAAGTCAAAAAGTTTGATAAACCTTATTCCTCCCCACAGAGTCAAGGTGGTCTGAGGCCAGGTTCATCAGAGCTTGAGCAAATTAGACACAGGGCTGCAGGGCCAATCTGGGCATCTCATGGGTTTGGGCTTCCATATTATGTAATTTTAGGATCAGGGTAAAGAGCCTCTTAATCCTTACCTCCACCTGTTTGCTGGTGCCTGAGGTCCCTTTTCCAAGGAGTAAGTCTTTCTTCTCCAAATATAGCTGAGGATAAAAGTCTGAATCCCCTCAGGATAGAGAAGACGAGTTCATACCACACAGCTGGCTCCACATGAGGAGGTTTGGAATCAAAGGGTTCTGGGTTCAGATTCTGACTCTGGCACTTATTTCTCCCTGGAATCTCTGTGGGAAATTACATCTGACTGAGTCTCCGTATGCCAGGCCATAACATGGAGAGGATAAAACCTCTGCACGGGGGTACTGTGAAGGCCAAAGAAGGCAAGGTTGGTGAGCCCAAATGCTCAGCCTGATGCTGGTGTAGAGAATGTCAGCCCATGGCTGGCATGGGGAATGACAAAGGGAAATTGTGGGTTTTGCACAGGTTGAACATCATTAACTACCGCATCCTGAAAATCAAAGTTGAACTGACTCCTGATGGCGAAGTCATTAACATAAGGGTCCCCATCGTCGCTAATGTCACCCTGGCCCTGTGAGTAGGCATTAGAATCTGGGATTTGGGAGAGGCTGTGCACCATGGCCAATGGATCTCCAAAGCAGAATCGGGCTCTTTCCCATGCTACCGTGTGGCCTTGGGCCTCAGTCTCCCAATCTGTACATGAAGGGGGCTTTCCAGCTCTAAAATCTGAAGCTTTAAAATGTTCTAATGAACTTTGGCCATAATCAAGTCTCTTTGGAAAGAATCCTCCATGAAGTATTTCTGAAATCGTAACATTTATCTAATTGTAAAATTTGAAAACCTGAGAAGACATGAGCGTTTATAACTCTGGCAAAATTTCCTCCAGCATTATTTCGTCTCTTGAGATTCTCTTTAAATAGCAGTGACCATTATAGCTAAACACAGATAGTAGTGCACAGTATATAATGAAGGGCATGTGTGAAAAACGTAATTTTAAAGTATTTTAATTACTTTAAAAGAGATAGAGAGATAGGAAAATGAGCATGTGTGGAAGAAGATAAATTGAGGACACGGGGATTCCATCATTCATTAGCTACGAGATCTTGGGATGGTTACTTAACCTCTCTATACCAATGTTTCCCCATTTTGAAAATAAAGATAACAATAATGGGGCGCCTGGGTGGCTCAGTTGGTTAAGCGACTGCCTTCGGCTCAGGTCATGATCCTGGAGTCCCAGGATCGAGTCCCGCATCGGGCTCC